CTAAAACCACTTTGTATTATAACAATAAAGATATTGGCAAAAACAAACGGCAAATGCAAGACGAAGTAAGGGATTATTGTCGCAACAATGAAAGTTGCTTAAGAGTTATGCTGCTGAAATTTCTTGACGCTGAAGAACCACAATCCCTGGACCCACCACATCTATGCTGTAGTGTATGCAAGGAGGCATGTTCATGCCCCCAGTGCACTGTACATGATGACCTACTTGGCCTTGATATGTCTGAAAACTATGTATAACATTTTTGTCTTTCGTTATTTCATATTTGTTTAATGTATGTAAAAAATTGTCCTCACAAATCATTGACTGGTATTATATAACAACATTTTCTTAGGTACATAAAAAAGGCAATGATTTTAGTTGTCTAAAATTAAGTCAACTAATGTAATGTGGTATTCTGTTATATTCTAAAACATAACACTCTTTGAGAAAACCATGCTTGTAATAGGGATGTACTGGATCCGGATACCGGTATCCAATAAAATTTAGATATCCAGCACTATCCGGTATAAATTTGCCGGATATTTACCGGATAGTACTGTAAGATTTTTTTGCAATCATGAAACAGAAAAGTTTACTTGCCGTTTAAAAATTGTGAAACACGAACAATTACTGAGCGTATGCTGCATTACAACTAAATGATGACGTTATATTTTTTTTGTGATGGTGATGTGAACTGCTCGTTTGCCAACAGCAGTAAATTTTATATACTGAATACCAGCAAACAATGTAAGGTGAATCATAAGATATGGCCTTGGTAAAGACAAATAGGTCAAAGAGACAAAAAACTCTTGAAGTTATTGTATTAAACACATTGCCACATTGGACTAGTTAATTAAGCTATAAAAATGTTGTGTTTCTAATAAATTATTGTATGGGAGTATCTGGTTATTATCCGGTATCCGGTTATTATCCAGTATCCGGTCATCATTTTCTCCTGACCAGTATCCGGTAAACTACTATCCGGTACTATCCGGTAAAACAGTATCCGGCACATCTCTAGCTTGTAATATGATGTTATAACTCAGTCCACTTTATAAACTACATTGATATTGTTTTGCTTTTTAAAAAGTTACAAGGTTGTTGGTTAAACGTTTGGGTAGCTTATACATAATAAAAGGACACTGCAACTCTTGTTTTTTAATTAATTTTACCTATTGACAGTGCTGCTATTCAACAAGAAAACCTTTTACAGACAGACATATTATAAGAGTGATGAGGGAAGGGAATCTGTTGGTTCCATGAATTTTGCCGCCCCCCCCCCCCCAATATCCAATTTAATTGTTCAAAGCATAGATGATAGATAGCAGTACTGTAAGTGTTGCACCTTTTCCCTCTAGAGTACTGTATCTAATGTACTAGACTTGGATCAAGTCCGTCTCTCAAGAGTCTGAGGGATCGGGCATGCGAGGTGTCGCGGCATGTGCTCGATCTCGTTGCTTCGCGACTCGGACTCTGGAGAGATGGACTTGATCCAAGTCTACTAATGTACCTAATATGAAAATGTTTATTATTTTTGATTATTGCATTGTATTGTCATGATCAACCAATCACAAAGCCTGTTCATATTAGGTACAATATATACCAACCTCTTACATTCTATGTTTTATCAGTACTACACTACAACAGTACGCAGCACCTAATAAAACTAGTAACTAATAATAAATCTTATGTTGCCATATACTTTTTGCATGCTAGGTATTAATTCATTGAGTGCCAGTCCTAAGTAAAATTGTCTGGCAGTAGATAAAGTAGAGTAACGAAGTCAGGTGTGTTAGCGTGCAATATGACTCGACCCTGCTGTTGAAAAAAGTGGCAATGGGCCTGTTGCACCCTACTTTATCATTTTAATCTGTCAATGCCAGGCAATTTTACTCATCAGGGGAAGAATTTTGCCACTCAATGGATTAAGCAAAATTGGAAAGATTTGTACATGCTGATGATGTCTTAACAACATAAAGTCATTGCTCATTGTTGTATATTTTTTCACAATATATTCTGATTGATTATAACTAAAAGAAGTCCGGAATTCCAATAGAAGGACTGGTCCACATAATCTTAATCTTTATTGTTATCAGATTCTTTCCCTACATCATAATCAGGAAAGTGAATGATGAGGTTCTTTTGATGTTGTTTAAGCCATTCATCCAGCTTTGTCTGATCAATACTTTGAAGAGGATTAGCTGATATGGATGGAAAACTTGGATGTGACCTACCTTCTATCTCTCTGAAAGGTCGCAATTGCCTTAGATCATTTAAAACGATCCTTTCATCTTGTACTGAAGATCTGCTGCTATGGAGCGATGAAGGCTGTTGACGAGACACTTCGCTGTCAAAAGTTTCAACAATCTTCTTTATTCCTCCAGCTGCTTTGCTTACTCTCTTTATGGCTTTATCCGTTTTGTTGGCACCCATGGATTTAATAAAATCTTTGAGATCCTTGTTTCGATTCTCTTGAAGAAGATCAATCTCTATGTTGTGATCTTTACCTCCCTTCCAGTTGGCAGTAGATGCCCATTGGCAATGGTGAGCTTGTGCTGGACTCAGTAGTATTTCATTTTGAACTATACTGATCATCATCTCTATTGCATAGACATTGAAGCTTGAATGAGAGTGGAAGTGAAGAAGCAGTTCTTTGTGCAGTGTTGCAATAAAGCTGCCATTTCCTGACTTGACTGCATCCTTGTAACTAGCCAGTATAAGAAAGTTAATTATTAGGTTTATTGAATAATTTAATATATAATCAGGATCATCTTCATCTTCAACATCTTGTGCTGTATCCATTTGATTGACAAATACATACTGATCAAGGAATGCATCGAGTTTTGTTGTCAAGAATTGCTCCCGCTGTGATGCAGTTGTCAGATAAGCATAGTTTGGACTGTTTTTTGTGGTATTTCCGCCTTCATCGGACATACCAAAGAACTCCATCAAGGCTTCAATGACAAAGCATTTTCCAATGCTAAAGAAGAACTGCTCAGAGTCCTCAAAATGTTTCACGTCCTGCGTAACATTTCTTCGCATTAATTTCTCTCGAAAATACCTGAGGGTTCCTTGTTCTCGACCAGAGTTACTGTACAATCTTTTAAATACAAGCTTGAAAATTGAAAATAAATATTTGTTGTATATACCTTACTAACCCATGTACAAGCAATGACACATCTAGGCTTATTAACCCTTTAAGTGGCAATGCATCCAGATACGCCATACTTTATTATTTTACTCTGTCTAACACCAGACTATTTTACTAGTCAGGGGGAGAGTGCTGCCACTCAATTGGTTAATATGTAAAGTGAACATTGTGGCTTATTAACTCACTGACATTGCAAAGAGTAAATAAAGTAGAGTGTTTTTAGGCACATTGCAACTTAATGGGTTAAACTATATGGATGAGTGAAATTATCTGGCATATAGGCACAATAATATGGTATGCTAAATGCAGACCATAATGACCCACAAATATGGATTAACAGGAACTTTAACAACTTTGCAATTGGCACTAGTAATGTACGTACTTTGTTGTGAGGTATGAAAAATGTCACAAACTGATAGCCTGACTGTAGTGGCACTATGGAGGAGGGAGAGGATGAGAGAAGTGGCAAGAACCACCCCCCTGATACATTTACTATGTAGACTACAAACCTTACAATGAGGTTTGGCACATTTCTGAAAAATTAAAACGAATTTAGGTGTACTTTGTCTTCTATAATATTTTCTAATATTTCCTTCAACAATTTCAGCATCACTGATTTACCTTCAAAAAGCTTTGTTTTGTGTGCCAGTCAACGATATGAAACGGGTAAACATGGTCAAGCCTCTCACGTGGATTGTGGCAGCCAGCTCTAAGGTCTTTGACACCAGCAAACCTGACACGTGTGAGCTGATCACCAAAACAGGGAATACTGACTCCAGCCAATGGATCATCTTTTGTAGGAATTGGTGGGAGATGTGAACCAGGTTGATCAGGTCTGGAATGAGCATTTGGTGGTATATTTACAGATGTTGGTGGCTTATCGCTGGAAGCACAAAGGCCTGCTGCAGAGAAAATATCATGCGTCCAGGTCTCAAGTTGGTCTAAAATGTCAACGCACTCCGAATACTTTTTCTCATCTTTCATCATAATGGGCATTGTTACTACACATGACTGTTCCATCATTTCATTTGAATATGTAACACTTTGTTGTTCTGGCATCACATCTTTGAAGGAATGAAATGATCTGAACAATCCAATTAGAAGTTTTGCAACAATTACTCTGAATGATTTTCTAATATCATTTCTTTCTTTGTCAGTGATCTTGATAACATCAGAAAATTTACTTGTAGCCAACTTCGTTTGAGGACCAGAGTTTGGTAGGTGATCAGATGAAACACGGTCAAATACAATGCATGTAGCGATAGCATGCATACTTTTGTTCTGGTTGTTTTGCCTCATATCATGAACTTTGACCTCCCAATCAATGTTATCGATCACATATACGAACTTATGGCCAGCTTTATCAAGTTCAATTGCTTTGTCAAGGAAGTGCTCACCAATTTCATCAAATAAAGTATACTTCATGTTAGGTTCTAGGCAAAATCCATATTTGTTAAGCCGTTCAAACACCTGTAAATATATTGTAAAAATAATAACTTGTAATTAAATTTTGACATTGTAATACTACATATTTATTAAACAAGACATAGCAGTGCCGTAGCAAGCTCTTTTTTGATTGGGGGGAGGGGGGGAGGCTGAAAATGAGGGCAGAAGGCCCTAGATGAACGCAGGAGGCGTGGGACGTTTTATAGGAGAAATTTTAAAATTATAGTCTCTGAAATGCCATTTCCTTGACTTTTGGAAATATTTGACATAATTCTGATGGTCACAAAACAGCATTATAGTCTGCATGATTTGTAAGTCTGCATGATTTTGAAAAAAGAATGATTATTAGCCCTCAGGGCCATAGCTAGGGGGGGGGCATATTCATATATTTGTGTTCTGCCCCACGGATTTCTTTTGTTCGTTTTAAAGCGATTGTTCTTATGGTATGTGAACTGGAATATATGAATATCCCCCTCCCCCAAATTATCACGTTTAGCTACGGCTTTACTATGCATACGGTGCTGATGCTTTTAATGGGCTGTTGAATTTTCTTGATTTTCCAAGCATTTGCCTAAATTTCTATGGTTTCCCAAAATGGGGGGGGGGGTGTGGTCGGTTGCCTAAAAATGAGGCCTTCAGCTGGGGTACACATGATACTATTAATTGCATTCATATGAAAACTATTACAGACAATACGAATTGGATAGAATGGAATTTTAGGCAGAACATACTAACAAATTACAATGGAATCATATACTTACAGTGTGATTTGCGTTCCCTTTTGTTAAGAGAATTGTATTAATTCGCTGTATCCTACTTAATTCGTGGCATCTCCTAAACATTATTAATCTTTAGATAAGACATGTTGAGGCAACTTTCTTGTCGTAATTATACTCAAGATCTATAAGCGATGACAAGACTTGAAACACTGTTGGGCATCGTGAGGACAACTCTCCAATGACTTCAGCCATCCATCCAGCACTACTCATGCCGTCATATCCCGTTTTGCAAAACAGACGGCTCAGTTCGTCGAGATACATTATTCAATTCTTTATTTGCGGCATCCAGTATTGCAGTGAAGAACGCAGTGTAAACAGTTGGATTTTGAAGTAATGATTGCACAAGTTCGTCTATATTTACTGAGGAGCATAGTATCTTGATAATGTTTCCAGCCGTTTCTTCAGTCGGTTTCTGTAAAACAGGTGGATATCATTTATTTAGTAACAAGATTTAGTGATCAGAAATCATAATTTACGTTTGCATGTGTCATGTAATTACTATAATTAGCAACATTGCAAAACTAATGCGTTTTGAACACCGCACCTAATAAAATATCAATGTTTTTCTTCCTTTTATTGTTTTTTAATATTTAGAATAAAAATGGTCTCTTTAAATGTCCGATTTTGTATTTGCAGAGTATAAAATAGATTTCCAAATTTCATTCTTTATTTTTTATATATCTCGCCAAGCAGAATGGCGTGTGTGTTAATGTATATTGTATACAAGAAAATGTTCTATGATAAATATGCATAGTTTGTAAACAACAGATTCGAAGCTAAACTGCTACATGCCTTGGTCCTTGGATGACTATTTACCTCGGTGTTGAAACACACTTGATCAAATTGTACTTTGTTGGCGTTAGGCTGGATATTTGTCCCTTCATCTTCGACACTATTATAGAAAGTAGAAACGACAAAATATTTTTAATACGGTAATACAATAATCAGACAAAGTACATAAACTGTACAATAAAACAATATATTAAGTCCAATGTTTACGAACCTGTGAGGAATCGCACCCTCGGAAGATTGCAAGCTGTCAAAAACAAGGCTTCTCGCTGTAGTTGTTCCATGACGAGTATCAGTAGTATTGCACGTCTTCGGCGGTGGTCTTAATGTTGAAGGAGACACATCTTTACATCTTTTTGTCCTCAACGTAACATGGTATGATTTTTGTGTATTGGTTACGACTACTTTGAAGCTCTGGAAATTTTTCAATCGCCTTTCACACGGTCGACACATAAGCACAGGTAATTGCTCATGCTGAACAATTGTGCTCCCTAATAGAGCGTCAGCTACGTTTAAACTGTCTCGATTTTCCGGTTTAAAAATATTCTTGCAGTAGTAAGCATCTACAACATTACCACAAAGCCAACAGGAGGAAAGTTCAAAGGTTGTCTTTGTTGAAGAATAGAATTTTTTTGGAGTACTTTTTGATGACATATTTATATATGTATTAAATATTTTGTGCTTGCAGATCGAATGATTTGGTTCAGTAACAAACATGCTCCTCTCCTACCCCTCCCACAGCGATTATACTTTTTGACACCCAGAATTTAGGGTACACGTAACCAGCCCCAGCCAGAGTATTTTCTCCAGCTAGGAGCGTAGAGGAAAGAGCCTGGGTACGAGGTTGTACATTTGATTGTTCAGCCTTGTTGTCCTTTTCCTGACTTCACAGATTTTCTTGGGTAATAAACTGTGTAATTTATGGTTAGGCTTCGACATTTTTTTTATTAATTCAATGCACATTCGATTGCGTTGTTTCTCCAAACTTTCTATTTTTGCTATACGTAAAACATTATCGTAATCATGTTCCTTATAAATTATTTTCAGCGCTCGTGTTTGGATTCGTTCGTTTTTGGATTCGTTCGATTTGGTCTTTCGATTCGATACTTTGGTCCTTCGTAATTCCGCCATTCCAGACCTGAGCCCCATATTCGAGTGTTGGTCTAATTACTGCGATGTAAAATCTTTTCATATCATCCATACTTGCACCATACAATTTTATTATTTCCAAAAGAAATAGGCGCTTCGCAGCTTTTTTGATTATCTTCTCTGTGTTTGTATTCCACTTCAAATTGTTGTCGATCCAGAGCCCCAGTACCTTATAAAAATTAACCCTTTCAATTATCTTGTTCTCTATTTCAGTTAATGGTATAGCCGTTTTGTTTCTTCTTAAATCAATCAACATTTCCTTGCATTTTTTAAGGTTAAGGTCCATTTTTTGTTGTTTCGTAAACTTCATAACTTCTGACATATTTCTTTCAGCATTACCAATGACATTACCTGGTATATGGTTTTTTACATCTATAATTTCAGAGATTGTTGTGTCGTCCATGAATATTGTTACGTCATCATCATCACCTTCAGACACCTCATTATCAAAGGTTCTCTCACGTTTCGCCAGTGCTGAGGGCAAGCCATTTATATACACAATAAATGCAACCAGGCCTAATCTGCTACCTTGGGGTACGCCCTGTTAACTGCAACCCTATCAGATACCTCATTTCCAAATTTAGTTATCTGGGTTCTTCCACTCAGATATGAAGCAAGCCACATGACCAGTGCAGGGTAAATGCCAATCTTACAACAATTTTCCATCAATAGGATCATAGACTTTGCGGAAATCTAAAAACAATATCCTGATTACAAAGCCTGGAGTGTCTAAGACCATGTGCCATTTGTGAACCAGATAAATAAGCACCAGGACCGCAGATGATCCTGATTGTCCGCCATATTGCGCGTCCATAATTTCATCATGTGGAGTAACCTTAAAGGATTTGTTAAAGATATTGGTTAGGGGTATTGCAAAATATTCTGTGAATATTTTTAGGATTTTAACATTCGCATCGCTTGGACCAGGTGCTTTGTTGGGTTTTAACTTTCTCAATTTATTCGCAACGGATTTCTTTATAATTACGGGGTAAAGTTTCCATTTCGCCATATGATAGCCACTTGTCCTCAACAACTGGAAAGTCCTTGGTCAAGCTTGCGAAGAAACAGTTGATGTAATTTGCAGTATCTTTATCATTCATTTTGAATTGGGACTCGAGGTTACTCAAGAAAATATTAGCTGATTTATCTTTCCCCGTAAGTTTATTGATCTTCTTCCACCACTTTGAGTCGTTTTTATCATTATTTCTGGATATGTTATCATTGTAATACCTTTCTTTCGCCACACAGATTTCATTTTTACCTTACTTATATGCACAATCTCTCGCACAAATCATCTTCTTCAGTTTCGCTGTCATAAAAAATTTATCATTTTGGTGAAATTTAACAGTTTTGGTAGGGAAGAAATCGTTGATCATATTGCTGGTGGCTGTGAGGAATTCTTCTAATTTAGCATCAACAGAGCTTGTGGAAATAACATTTTGCCAATTATAGGAAGCCAAGAGTGAGTGAAAAGACTCCAGGGCAGAGGGTTATATTGGCCTTACTGTCACTTTTTTGTTATATTATTTTGAGGCTGCTGAATTTTAGACATCTAGATGACCATATTATGATCTGCAGAAGATAATGGGGCTATAATTTCTGGAACTTCATAAAGTGATTAACATAGGTGAAAATAAGATCCAGAATACTAGTGTTTCTTGTTGCTTCTTTAACTACTTGTTTAAGATTACAGTGGATCTTCAGAAATCTTGATTTAAAACCATTACTAGTTGGGTTGAAATCACCTGCAATAATAAAAGCTGTATCCTGACTTTCGGTAGTTAAAGTATCATACCAGGACTGAAAATAGTCGTAAAAAGCATCTACAATCCTGGACAAAACATCTGTGACACTTCCAATTACTTGACAAAATGTCGTAATATTATCGTAAATTTAGAAAACCTCCCCCTTTCCCCCCACCATTCAATGTTGATTGCATTCGTAGAATACGGATAAAACGTCCAACATTGTTTTGGGGGGTGGAGGGGGGCAAACGAGTAAATTATTCCGGTCTAACTGGTAAAAAAGCCACAAAGCAATGTTTTAATAGAGTGTCGCAGATGGTTTTGTCCAGGATTGTCTGAAATGAGTCGAAATTATATTCTTTTATATTTCGCTTTTTATACATGTCCTTGCCATGTATTTCGTTTATGTGCATTGCGTATGACCTACTTATGTTCATAATTACATCAAGTACCTTATTTCATTAATTAAATACGTCATGAATAAATTAGTGTTTTGAAAGGGTAATAATGTGTGGTAGAAACTTTTTGCCGAGAAAATCGCACACGGTATATAATTTTTTAGCAATTAAAAGCAACGAAATGTTGCGGAAATAATTGGGAAAGTAAAACTATCGCGTTCTAGTAGATATCATTGCAATAATTCAGATATTAAGAAATATATATGAGTCATATTTGTTATCTGTATATTTATATAAGATCTGCAAGATACAATAGACCGGCCTGATCGACCATGTAAGAAGGTGTCTAGGCAGACATGGACGCGATCAGTGCATGAAATACAATGTACGACCCAAAAAATATATTTCCATAAGGGTTTGTGCGACATATATATTGATAGTTTATAATTCAGTCTATACATAAACGAATGCGTGTGTCTGTGATATCCAGTAGAACTAAGGGACAATAAATTCAACATAGTTACGTTTCTGGTATTTACTGTATATATTTAAAATATTAAGTGACAACTATATAAATGTGAATTATGCATTTTGACACGTTTTCCTGGTGTGGTAAATCTGTGCTCAATTTTCCCAGTGTCATAAATAACGGTGTACCACCACCAATGCACTAAGACTGTGATAGTATCCCCAGTTATAGGTGTAATACAAACAAATGAAATGGACTTGAAAGAACGTGTGTTGCTTAGTATTCCAAACTACTTCAGACAATATTTAGCGCGATAATTTTAAAATATTCCACGGTGTACAATTTTAACCCTCCAGAAGGTTATATATATATATATATATATATATTTCTATATGTTCACGCTGTACCGTGGTACACCGTCAATGCGCATGCGCTATTAATTACACGACAATAACAAAATCGGATTAGTCATTTAGCGCGGCGGTCACGCAATATATTTCCAGTCAAAAGCTAAGCGTTTGTCTGTCTAACAACACAAATAAATATGGATTAACGTATTTTAGAATATTCTTAGTGCAAAATAGTTGGTATATACACTATTAAGTACATTGACTTGCTCTCCGACGTATATTAAATGCGTGAAAGTCGTCGCATATGATTTTTAATCGCATTCTATACAAGCTATCGAAGCATAGCGTTGCATGAGGGAGTTATATTACTTTGTCGACCATGTGGTATTTGCTTCTTGAATCCTAATACATTCTAGTGAACCATATTTACTACGGAAAGAGAAAGTCCTGCATAAAACTCAATTTTTAATGCGCAATGCCTTGGTTATTGAATTTGAAAGATACAGACAATCCTGAACAAAACATCTGCGACACTTCCAATTACTTGACAAAATGTCGTAATATTATCGTAAATTTAGTAAACCTCCCCCTTTCCCCCACCATTCAATATTAATTGCATTCGCAAAATACGGATAAAACGTCCAACATTGTTGGGGTTTTTTTTTTGGGGGGGGGGGGTTGGAGGGGGGCAAACGAGTACATTATTCCGGTCTAACCGGTAAAAAAGCCACAAAGCAATGTTTTAATAGAGTGTCGCGGATGGTTTTGTCCAGGATTCAATCCTGGAAAAACATCTGCGACACTTCCAATTACTTGACAAAATGTCGTAATATTATCGTAAATTTAGTAAACCTCCCCCCTTTCCCCGCCATTCAATGTTGATTGCATTCGCAGAATACGGATAAAACGTCCAACATTGCTTTGGGGGGTGAAGGGGGGCAAACGCGAGTAAATTATTCCGGTCTAACCGGTAAAAAAGCCACAAAGAAATGTTTTAATAGAGTGTCGCAGATGCTTTTGTCCTGGATTGTTGCTTTAATAATGCTTATTTTAATTATCAAAAGTAAGTCATGGGTACTTAAAAATGAATTTGCAAATGTATCTAATATTTTTCTACATAATTTGTATTATAAAATCTCATAACTCAGAAAAACCAAACATTTTCGCGCGGTTTTTGACAAATTTTATTTGGGTCTCCAATATTTTAGCAGTTGAACGATATTTATTTATTGTAAGCACTTGAGTGAAGAGATTACTTGTCTTAGTATGCTATAAAACGAAAAAGAAAGGGGGAAAGGAAGTGAAAAGAGTGAAATTTTGTCTATATAGAAAGTGTATTTCTCAAAAAAAAATTGCAAAAAAGGTCTGGCACTACCTACAAAGCGACTTCAATTCACCCACAAGTTAGTCTTCCAGTTTACTTATAGTTCAATGCGAGTCGGCCATCTTTGTTTTGACAAGGCGTCAAACCTAGCGGGACAAAAAACGATATCCGGACAAAAAGCGATATCCGGGACAAAAAGTGTTATTCCGGACGATATCGTTTTTATGTCCCGCTGCTTCCTAACCGATAAAGGTGCAAGTATATTGTGATAAACATGTATATCGGCGATTCAGCTTCAGAAATTTATATGAATTTTTGACAGTTAATGAATCTAACTTCACCACATCGTGCATGTGTAGTGAGACACGAGGAAGGCCGGACACCTGAAATTTATCCTGGTCATTATTAGTTGGCATCAAAACCTTTATCTAAAATGAGATTAATTGTGATTATGACGCCAGAAAGATTATTAAATTTCGCCAAGTAAAACTAAATATGTTATGGTTGTATGCTTAAACTAAAGTCTGTTTTTACCAACAGACACTATTGAACTCATTTGTCAGTTGTATTACGTTTCAAAAGGTTTCTTTTCTAAATTGCTTCCAACTAGACTAAGTTTAATAATATTAGTGTTAGAATTCGTACCTTTCGTAATTTTCGGTGTCTACATATAATTAGCTGTGTAAAAATTATGAATACACCTACAGCATTTCTTAGAAACTCTACATTATTTATCACTTACCAGCAACAACAATCATTCGCTCTGCTCCAGGTGAAAGTGATATCGTGCTGACTGCCACATCCGTTGTTTTATTATATTTGCTAACTTCGGACGTCATTGAATCAAGAATATAAAAGTATCCATCCCCCTCTGCAATATCTACAGTGGTAACGCTTCCCATTTGATTAGATTCAATCAGTGATGTTTGACCATCATATGTCGTTTTGTATATTTTATAAGACGTCTCTGCCGTAAAAAGAATCCAGTATACAATTTTGTTGACGCTATCAACAGCAAGATGTGTTCCTATTCCAGGTGGATTATGGTCGATATTTTGAATAGGTCCCGCCTCAGCCAGACTATACCGGATGAGATTTCGCGAGTTCGTTAGATCAGTGGTCAAAAATAATGATCTAATTGAAAGAAAATTAAAGAGCATCAAAAAAATAAACATTTTTAAATCTAGATAAAAAGTCGAATATCTTTCCAGAAAAACCAAAGGGACCAATTTGCAATTCATATCTGAAAATTTTGAGAGTGGAAAAGTTTATCAAAATGAGATTTTCATAATATTACAATTCTTCTGAGAATGGCCGATTGTTTTACTTTAAACACTAGAACAATTATCGTGTTGAAGAGCAGGGCCGCTGAGAAGTTGGGCAGAGTCCTCGTCACAACTGTAAAACGGAACAAGGGGGAATTTCGTTCTTGACCAATCAGCGCATTTGTTGACAATTTCGCTCCAAGCCAATCAATTCAAGAATGCGTAATTGGTTCACAGGACGAAATCCATACCTTTTTTGACCTTTACAGATTGGGTAAATCTGCTAAAGGTATCTTTAAACGTATACAACTGTGTTTAAAGGCATTAAAGGTGTGTTCGAACTTTATCGACATTTAATACTTGTTTAAATACATCTTTAATCATGATATGCCTTTAGTTACCTTTACAAAAACAATTAAAGCTTGATAAAGCCACATCAAACTTTACTCAAGTTTATATGTGATCTTTAAAGTTGATTAAAGAAATCCATACCTTTTTTGACCTTTACACATTAGGTTAAATCTGTTAAAGGTATGTTTAAACGTATAAAATTGTGTTTAAAGGCATTAAAGGTATGTTCGCACTTTATCGACATTTAATACTTGTTTAAATACATCTTTAATCGTGATATGCCTTTAATTGCCTTTATAAAACAATTAAATCTTGATACAGCCACATTATAATGTCCTTTACTCAATTAAGTTTCGAGTAAAATGTGTTAAAAGGTAAAATGTCGGCCATAAACGTCATTGTTACCATATATAACAACGGTAACGACATCATTTTTGTAAACAGTTTTCAACTCTTGGACGATTGCTCAATATATGTGGTACAATTTTTGTCTTCTGAAAAGAAACATCTCTTCAAAAAATTAAAAATTAAATCTAAATCACGATTTTGTCATATTTCAAAAATTGTAGGGAGCCACCTTAATCAGGATTGTAAACCTGTGACGCGGTGTTTTGTTTCATTGCTTATTTTGACAATGTTTCAGAGAACGGAACTGAACCAAAATGTTAAACTCAGACTACGTTTACACCATACCAGATGAATATGGAACCACATTGTTCACAAACTAGACCTGAATTCATTTGTTGCAAACTTGCACAGTTAGCTATGCTTCATTTCGTACGATGAAGTACATGTACTGTACATGGACTTTTGATGAGGATTATTTATTCTGCTCAATTTGAATAGAAGATCTTTAATAGCAGGGGTCGAAGTAGAAACCACTGCCACTGGGACAGACTGCAGAATGAACAACTTGCTTGCAGGGAAATTTTGTACAATTTTATTAAAAATGGAGGTTATAAATATATGTATTACTTATGAAAACATTTGATATGTAGCGCACATTGCCAGAAAATAACAGGTGATAGCATGCATTAACATGAGATTGTCAATACCATTGACATTGTCATTGTTACAATTGTAATCGGTCAGTTGCAAGTTTTATAACTTTAGGTTACCAAAATCTAAGCGAAACATTGCAAAAATGCAAACATACAGTATGGCAAATATATAATGCAGCCTGGATCACAATCATAAAATATGAAGATATATAGGTGTATGATTGACGGTCATGCATACTAGACCTTATATAAAGTACCTAACATTTAATACAACATACTCATACCAAATCAATATATAAACTCCTCATCTCAATTAAATTGGCTTAGGAAGACTGTATGAAAAACATGCATGTGCATAAATTTTGCATCCTGTAGATTGCAGGTTGTTCTCGTCATGCTTAGAAAATTTATTCAAACCATAGCAATATAGACTCTTCATTGTTTTATCATGAAGTATCAGAAAGCAAGAAGACTTGAAGATACAGTATAAACCTTTACAAAAAATTATATTCCTGTTGGCTGCAGTCCATTTGTTCTCATAATTAAAAAAATTCTCCGTTTCAACATAAATTTAGCAAACCTCACGCAGCTAAATTGAATTCAACTTTAACAGCCACTCACAGACAAGGTTTCTTTAAAGATCTGATAAAATGGTCGCTCCTAATCGACCTATAGCCAGCATAAAGATCTTGTTTGTATTAATAGTTCATTCAAAAGCTTATATATAGCACGTGAGATTTCATAATACAATATATTCAAACCATACCAATATAGACTCTTCATTGCTTTATCATGAAGTATCAGAAAGCAAGAAGACTAGAAGATATACACCTTTTCAAAAATTCACATTCTTGTAGGCCGCAGTCCATCATTTGTTCTCATAATTAAATAATTTGTAAACATAAATTTAGAAAAACTCACAATGGAGCTAAATTGAATTCAACTATGCAATAACAGTCACTCACTGATAAGGTTTCTTTGAAGATCTCATAAAATGGTCACTCCAAATTGACCTAGCCAGCATAAAGATCTTGTTTGTATAGTTCATTCAAAAGCTTAAAGACAGTGAGATATTATGTACAATATATTAATTGAATGAAACCAAAGCAATATACTGCTAATTCATCATGTTAATTTGAAATAATATTCCACTGCATGTCCTGTGTGTAAGACTGGCTTATTCTTACATGCAGCATAAAATTTACCTTCCTGTAGACTGCAGTCTTTTGTTCTCAACATTATGTCATGAATGATGAGTGACTCAGTGTCTTACCTTAAGATATCCTTAATATTGGATATTACTTTATTTATTTCTACCATGAATTTAAACCAGAAAAAATAAGGGGGAAATACATTAATTAGTATTAATTTTTATTAATTGCATTTTTGCATAATAAGCCACAAAGCTAAGGCAGGACTGTCATGAATGTAAGGTGGCCAAAGTTTTGCCAAGCCATGTCTCAAAATTTTCCAAAATCAAAATGTAAAATGGGTAATTGTAAAACTTAAAATGGGCAGTTCTAATATCCAGTTTTAGAGATTTATATGAAAATTAATTATACATTAAGCACCTATACAGGATATTTAAGGCAAAAGTAAATCCAGCTTTCACTCTGAAAATGCATAAAATGACCATTCTGGACTTTTAAAATTCAAAATTTTCCAAGGGATCATTGTCCCAAGGACCCTCCTAGCTATTGAGGTATCCAATACGTCATGGCAAAAATGTCTCATTGAAGGGGAGTTTCTGGCGCAGTGATTAATGCATGAACCTTGTCTGCCACATAGTTAGCCTGTGTTCACTACCTCTGCTCTTGTCGAAATGGGCAGTTCTAAAATTTTCTTAAGATGACCCTGCATAAACATACTATGCAAGTACATAACTGAAGGTTCAGTCTATCTACAGCACAATGTAATGCTGTATATCAAAAAATCTGTTTCAGAAAATGCAGGGAATTGCAGTCATAGGGATAGAAAAATACAAATATTTTCTGGGGGAGAATACCCCCAGACCCCCCCCCCCTCCCTACTGTTAAATGCGATACCACACCAAACTTTTTGTTACCAACAAACCATCTATCATTTCTCCACAATCGGTATAGTATGGTCCCCTTTTGTAGATGCCCCCCCCCACCCCACAGACAAATTCTTCAAAAATGTCCTGCTTAGAAACACTAGTCACTAGACATGCAGTTATTGTTTACCTACGTCTGCTGATCTGTAGAATTCAGTATAGAACACTATACATTTATCGAGTATATCTGTAGTATTACATGTTATAATTGTTTCAGTGTGGGTATTAAATTGGGAAATTCGAAATATATAATA